TATTTGGAATCCTTGGCCACAGTTTTGTATTAGGTTGTCTCATAAGTAGTGGCGCATTTTTTCAAACGGAAATTTTTCTTGTGAACCTCTAATGTTTTACAATGTTTCATATACCATTCGATAGGAAATTATCTGCTCTACAAGAAGGTATGTACCCTTTTTTTGATTGTTGCAAATTGTTTGAGTTTTAGGCATGCAAAGTGGGAGCTTCAGACGACGAATTTTCGCCAAACCGACAGCTGACCTAAACTTTATACTTCCCTAGAAGAAATCAATCAATAATGTAACTATAACTTACTCATAACTCTACTAAACATTCCACATTTAGGTTCCAAAAGCTTGTCTCGTTTAATTTTGAGATTTAGTTATTCCAGTGCAACTCGGTGGTTGCCTGTCAACCCATAGGGCTTCCTTCAGACTGATATTTTCCATTCCAATTCCTCAGTATTGACGCTACTTTATATTACACCTGTAGGAAGCGTTTCTTCTGCTCTACTTACCCGCATGCAGAATTTGGTTTTGATTTCAATCCTGTTCGAGTTTCAGCATAGAAAATGGTGGTATGTCAAGTCGACGAAAAGGAACACTTCCGGCACCTTCTGCTGTTCACCTTCAACCAAGGATCGAGTGCCACAAAAGCCGGCAGGCAACCACCGAGTTGCACTGGAATAACTAAATCTCAAAATTAAACGAGACAAGCTTTTAGGGAACCTAAATGTGGAATGTTTAGTAGAGGTTATGAGTAAGTTATAGTTACATTATTGATTGATTTCTTCTAGGGAAGTATAAAGTTTAGGTCAGCTGTCGGTTTGGCGAAAATTCGTCGTCTGAAGCTCCCACTTTGCATGCCTAAAACTCAAACAATTTGCAACAATCAAAAAAAGGGTACATACCTTCTTGTAGAGCAGATAATTTCCTATCGAATGGTATATGAAACATTGTAAAACATTAGAGGTTCACAAGAAAAATTTCCGTTTGAAAAAATGCGCCACTACTTATGAGACAACCTAATATTTCGTCGCCTGGCCTATTACCTTGCCTTGCCACCCCACTGTGATTGGGGGGTACTCTTACCTGATTATGCTTTGTCTCGAGACAATGCCCACCCATCCCACACTTGACCCAGTTTCTCCAGGAGCAAGGGAATTCCGTGACAGACACCGTGACAAAACGACAGACGGCAGACGAAGCCCTTCCTAGCAATGGGATTACTTTTCATCACTGAAACGTTCAGACGTCCTCTCTGTGTGATGATGGTCGTTCTGTCCTTTCTACTAGTGGTTGCATGTGTGAGCAGGCAATTTGGAAAAGGATATCGGGGTAGAAAACAAGGAGGTTTCTGGTGAAGAAAAAGCAGACGTCAACGCAAAAGGGCTAATGGAACTCGTTGAAAAGGTACTCCTTTGAAAGCTGTAGAAAATGAATCAATTTAGATAAGTTCTGTAATCCACCACAGGCCACCGAAAGCAGCATCAGTGCTGCACGCGAATTGTTGAATAAATCAGAGAAAGCGATAATGGAACAGCTTACCTTGAGCGAAGAGCAAGAAAAGGAGCTGAATGGTAGCTCAAATGTTAGTAAATGCTACTGATAGGATCGTAACTAAGAAGGACTTCCTAACGTTTTTTCAGTCGTTCAAAAGAGAGATAGTTAGTGAGGTGACACCTACGGTCTACTCGGTTGCTGAGGCTAGCACGAGGGGCAGACTCGCCGATGCGCTCTTCAAAACAGATATGAATCTTACGAAGTTAGTTTCCCAACTGTTCACATAGTGCTGCAAAATTTTCAGTCTTATTGAGGAAACAACTACACCTTCCGGAAATCAGTGGAGGCCGTCCCAAACGACAAGCTGTGAAGAATGAAACCGTTACTTTCCTATGGAATCACACGTAGTGCCTTATTATTTCGACGATTCGTTGAGTCAGTTACTCTTCTTGAGAAGATTCACATTACAGCAAAGCTCTACTATGTTAAGGTAAACGGGGCAGAAGTGCCTTCAGGAAAGCAGCAAAGCTATGGACGACGTTCACATGCATTAACATCACAGAAGAACCACACGATGACGAAGACGAGGAAGAAGAGGAAGAAGAGGAGATTGATGGAGACTATTACGGCTATCCCGAAGATTACGAAGACAGCTATGAGGAAAGCGAAGTGTCGAGCGAAGAAGGTCGAACTGATCTATTTTCAAGGGGTATCGGAGTAATGTTAGTGCTACCAGATCAAGGTCCAGGGTCCATTCTCGTGGAAGATAGAGGTCAATGTTCCTCAAGCGTCGGTTGGCAGCAAGAGACTGGAGGTTACCAGTCAATTTCCCTCGGCCCTCGCTGTCAAACGGTATTGGTTTGAATATGTTTTGATGCAGGGTCACGACTTCCCAGGAGGTTTGGATTGAGTAGAAGACACAAGATACTTCTCTGAATACTTCTTAGTTCT